CCCACTCTCCCGGTAAGTGTTCCTAGTGATGGTAAAATTATAGTTATTAGCAAAATGTCTACGAGAATATTTACCCAAATATTAGTTAAAAGGAAATCTCCCCCCCCGAAAAGCAAAATATACTACCAAAATTTGTTTCCTACTATAACTTTAGACTGGAAAAAATTGTATGCACTTCCGTACAAGGTTACAATAGAATCCAAGTGACGTGCGTTTAATTGTAAAATTTTGAGAAATATTCTATATATTAATTTTACTTTATTTAAAATGTCCCCAGCTTATGCATCATCTCCCCTGTGTACTTTTTGTAAAAAAACAGATGAAACTTTACTACATTTATTTGTAGACTGCCAATATTCAAAGGAGCTTTGGGGTAAAATATTTCATAACTGGGGCAAATTTTTAAATCTAGACAGTCTTCCAGATAAACATCAATTACTACTTGGGGATGGAAATTGTAGTACTATTACAAATCAGGTTATATTACTTGCTAAACGGACTATATACACTGCTAGGTGCCAAGATACCTTACCCAGTTTCATAGTATTAAAACATTTAGTGTTGAATATTTATAAAATTGAAAAATATATTGCAACTCGTAAAAATATTATGGAGCATCATGTTAATAAATGGAGTGATTTTCCAGTCGAATAAGTAAAATGTTATGTTCTTTACCTTACTCTGATAATTTGTTGTATTTGTGATTGGGTTGTACTTTTAGTTCTGTTTCCTTTTCATGTACTGTTAATTGAATAATAATTAAAAAAAAAATCTGTTATTACTTTTCATTAAATATGTGAATTTTTGCAGGTTGGTAATGATTTCTTTGGGGAATAAAATATTGGAAATAAAATCATTTCTATCTGTTTGATATCGTGGGCAAACTAAAAAAAAAGTGTAGTTCGTCTTTAACTTTCTGTAATGAGCATTGTTTACAAATTCTATTTTCTAATGGGGTTTTGGGATTGGTATGTCTGCCTTTTTCAATGGCTAGATTATGACTACTTATCCTGATTCTAGCCATTGATATTCTTTGATTATTATCCAAAACATTTAGGTAATTTTCCTGATTGTAATTTATTTTAAATTTAATGTATGTTCTCAGTTTTGTTTTTTCTTTTGTCATATTCTCTCTCCAGTATGTTATATATTGTTGTTTAATAGTGCTGCTAATTTCCTTAATATTTTGATGTGATAGCTGTGATGTTTTAGAGAGGTCTACATCTTTCAAGATATTTTTGACTGATGTTTCCCATTGTGCTTTTGACAAAGTCTGATCGCTTAACGCTATCTTTGTATAATTATTTTGTGACTTGTCTGTGACACGGGACCAGAACTTAATCATATTGATTTCCACTTCGATAATCAATGAAAATGCTCCAATTTCACCCAACATGCATTATTCGCTGTGTATTTATTAAGCCCAAGTAGTTGTTTGATGAATTTTAAATGCATTTCTTGTTTTAGTTTTGTCCCAGTTATTTTCCATTCCCCAAATTTCAGATCCATACAGTAAAATTGGTTTGATACATATATTAAACAGATGGATGTACATTTTACAGTCTATTTCTTTTGGTAAAGACTACTTTAGTGCATACATGGCTTTGATTGCTTTATCTGCCAGGTTGTCTCTAGCTTCTGTAAATTTACCATTTGACTGAAAGATTATTCCAAGATAATTATATGAGTTGACACAGCAAAGTTTTTCATTTTGATAATAGAATTGTTCATTTCTTTGTAGTGTTCCCCTTCTGAATACAAGAATTTTAGTTTTCTCAAGATTTACTTTAATTTTTCATTTTTCGCAATAATCTTGCAGTTTATTTAATGCATTTTGTAGGCCTTTTTCTGTTATTGAAATTAGTACCAGATCATCGGCGTAAAGTAGCGAGTTAATTTTAGTGTTATGTAGTGACGGTGACTTGATCAAGGAATCTGTCTTCCAAGTATTTACTCATATCATTAACATATAAATTAAATAGTGTGGGGCTTATAACACAGCCTTGTCTCACACCTTTTGTTGTCTCAAAAAAAAAAACTTGAAAAAATATGCTCAATGGTGTTAGTATTTCAAGCACAATATTTGACAACAGTAAACATAGTTTTCTCAACAGGTCGTTGTGCCTGTTTACGTTTGTGCCTCTAAAATATGCGACTAATCGGAGTTGTCCTATAATATGGCAATCATAAAAACAAATCTGCCGGTTGTTGAATTGGCAAAGAGGGCGCTGTTTAGGCGGAACGAGCATTATTTATTTATTTAATTGCCATTGCTATCGAGTATACTAAAAGTGTGCAATTTTGCAAGTGTCACTTTTGTTCATATTCTAAATTATTCTATATTTATAAGTTTATTTTCAATAAATAAAAAAAAATAACAGATTTGGGTACAAACTCATGGTGCATAGATCACAATTTTATTATAGAAATTAGCTATACTATTGAAAAATCCATTCCTAGTGGCCTTAACACGGACAGGTGATTATTATAAAACATCCGTAAGACTAGTAAGAATTCGGCACGTGTAAATTGGAAAAAAGACGATTTATTGCAGCAGATAAATCGGTTCATGACACACTTATGAAGAAACACGAAATCAGAGTATTTTCGTCGAGTATGTGAATGCACGCATAACTTGGTATGGTAATTCAGTATCCCATCCAGCGTTGTTTATACTTTTCCATATTTTTTTCACCATATTGCAAATTACTACGCATCTAACTAATTTATACCAGCTTCATAGTATCAATGTTTTTTTTTCATATTTTAATAAACCTATTCATACTCAGGAACTGATCACCATGACAACCAAAAGTTACTAGTATTTTACTCTTAGGCACAGTACCGAGATCAATGTGTTCGGAAACCATTTCTTGTCTGGTCACGTTCACCCATTGAACACTACTTACATTTCAATGGTATTAATTACAGTCTATAGAGACACCGTTGTTTATTTTAAGTTCCCAGGTCAGAACACATACAGGTCTTATTTGAATCACTTTGCAGAATAAGGCAATTCTGTATAATGACAATATTGCTGTGAATTTTCATCCGCAAATAGGTGAGTGAATTGGTTTTTTTGATGTATAGGATGAAAAGCAGAGGGCCTAACATGGGACACGTGGCCATTCTGAAAACGAACTACCAGTCGTCGTCTTTTTACTTTACTTCTTACTTCTTCCTGAAAAGTCCGTTAGTAGACCACGATCAGATTTGTTCATTTCGTGCAGACAACTTCAAATCACTTAATTGATGAATATTTTTGTTGATTTTCGTAATGATAATTTTAGTTTTCTTATTTTAGTGAATTTGTGAAGACTATTATCCACCCAAATCACTCTCACTCAAGGTGGATCACACTCAAGTCGGTTTGATTCCTTCTACTGTCAGATTAATTAATTAATTAGTATCGTTATTAATTAGTATTTTAATATCGTTAACTAAAATGTTTTTATTCTTAGTAAATCTTGGTATTCTTGATATCTTCAAAATGAATGTTTGACAGACAATATGTTTATGTTTACTATGTTGCAATATTCCTTATTCATCATTATCTCAGTGTTAATTGATCATTCACGCGAGTGAACTCAGAATGCTTGTATCACTGGAGAGTATTTAGCTATGTACTCAAGAACATTCGACAAATTTACATTTTACATACTCGACAGCTCATAAATTTGATATTTGTCACAGTGCTGTAATTTTATTATTACATGCTTGGATGTTTGATGGAGGCAGTATAACTTTGACTCTTACTTATAGAACACATCTGCGGAATACTCCAGCCTTTAAAAACTAAATTACAACAAAATAGTTTTTGGTCCGTGGATCACATAAAAATGCAGTCTATATTTTTGGGGCAGTTCTGTTTGGTCTATTCGAGGGTATTCATGTAACCTCAGTTGTTTGAGATCTGCCTAACAATGTGAACGTGTCAGGCTATGCATTATATACAGGACGACTGAAGATTTCACCATACTCATTTGTTATGTAACTATAATAAAATAAATGATTCCATGCATTATGCAGTGAAAATGAGAACTTTCCATAAACATTTAAATTTGTGTTAGATCTTGCATCAAAAGGGAATATTCTTAACTGACCCTTTTTGCAATTTTTTTTTTGAGTTTGCA